GAGTTCCTCAGCCTCCCCTCCCTGGTGCCAGTCCTGAAGCCCAGATGAGGGCAGCAGCCACCCTCCCTCCCCGCCCACCCGCCTGGGGAATGAGGCTCCTCTGGCGTGACCAGCTCAGCCAGACAGACCTCATTTCCTTTCTCACAGGGGGAGAGGGGAGGGCTGGCAGCTGAAATTCCAAAGAATGTCTGCTCTCCTACCCACTGGACGCAGGCGGTGCTGGGAGTGTGGTATCAACTTGGGGACACCTGGAAAGTGGCTTGCTTTTATCGCCCTCCCCCTTTCCTGCCGCCCCCACCCCCCACCCTGCAGCAGACTCTGTCACCACCTCTTGTCTGTGGGGCTTTCCTTCAGAAAGCTCCATGGACACTGGCTAGCCAACCCGGGATATTTTGAGGTTAGTGCTCTGGCATCTGGACCACACTCTCCCATGGAAGAGAGCTGGGTACTGTATGGAGGAGGGGTGGCTGGTGCCTGCCGAGCCCGGAGGCTCTGCCTGGCTTCTGGGTCTGGTGCAAAGTGAGTGATGAGAGACAGAGCCCCTCCCTCTCAGTCAGGGGAATGGCCAATCAGTCCTTGACTGCCACCCTCTTTGTTCCACACTCCTGGCTGCATGAGCCCACCAAGGGGGTTCAAGTCCCTCCCCTCCCCACAGCCACTGTTCCAAACCTCCTCCATGCACCTGGGGGAACACCACTAGTGAGGTCCCACTTGAGGAAGAGAAGCGGTCACTTGCACACAGTGACATCCCATAAAGGTCCCATACAAGAGGGGAAAGGCAGGTCCCGGCAGCCCTTGGGAGTCTGCCTGAGCATATCAGCAGGTGGAGCCACGGGCATCTGCACAAACAAACGTGACGCCCTCTCCATCGGAACCCTGTGAAAGGTGCCCCTCTTATCCCCAGGGCACAGACGAAGAGACGGAGGCACAGGGGGAGCCCCTGGTCAGAATGGTTCTGTCTCCGGACTCTCTGGACATTGGCCTAAGATCACAGAACTAGGAAGTGGCGGGGCAGGAAGCCGTGGAGCATTGTGGCCTCGCACGCCGTCCCATCCGGCATACCCCACGTTGGTATGTATGTACCTATCTATGGGGAGCAAAAGGGCAAACCTGCCTTTTACTTGCATACTCCACCCCCACCCCCCACCCAACACAGACCCTAGAGCTTGCAAAGCCTTGTCAGGTAGCACTTTGTCACCAGAGCCAGAGGCCTGGGATGTGGCTGGCAGATCTCAGCCCCCCAAAGGCCACTGCTCAGACTTCCACAGCTGCGGGGAGGCAGCCTGAGTGGCTCTGGGGGACTATGTGGGGCTGCCCCACCCCCACCTCCCACTGCTCTTGTGTCTAAACTGGTGCTTGCATTTATAGCCTCCCTCTGCAGCTCCTCGGCCTGGACACCAGGACAACCTGTCTGTCAAAGGCAGTGGTTTCCTCTGACCCGTGGCCAGGCTGCTAGGCCTGTCTGCAGGTCTGCGAAGAATAGCAGCGCGGGGCCAGAGGCCTGCTAGCTCCACACAGGGAGGGCCAGGTAGTGGCCAGGCCCCCTACTGAGATACAGAAGTGCAAAGCAGCCCATCATCTCACGGAGGAGACAATGAAGCCCAGAGCTGGAGGAGGTGTGGGTCTCCGATTTGCCCAGAGCACAGCCAGGTGGAGGAGCACACCTCAGCTCCCTGGCCCTAGTCTCGGGCCTCCCTAACAGAGGTGAGAGGTGTTGGCCCGGAGGCAGGACCCCAGTTTGAGTCAGAGCAGGCAAGCAGGCACAGCCCAGTCAACGACCGCCCCTTCAGCTCCCAGAAGGAGCCCCAACCCCCTGGGTCAAAAAAGAAGCCACCTGGGGGGGGAGGGAGGGATCAACACATACCCACCACCACCATCCCTTACAGGGAGGCAAACAACAGAAACCATGGGGGGAAAGGGGAGACAGCAGTCAGTGTGAGATATGAAAATGATAACATCATTTATCAAGGGGAGACAGCAGTCAGTGTAAGATATGAAAATGATAACATCATTTATCAAGGGGAGACAGCAGTCAGTGTAAGATATGAAAATGATAATTTATCATTTATCAAGGGGTCATGAGGGTGGGAGGGGAGGGAAAAAAGAGGAGCCAATACCAAGGGCTCAATAGAAAATAAATGTCTAGAAAAGAATGATGGCAACACATGTACAAATATGCTTGATACAATTGACGTATGGATTGTTATAAGTGCTGCTAGAGCCCCCAATAAAACAATCTTTTAACAAAAAAAAAAAAGAGAGAAAGACCACCTGTGGTTACAAAGATAGGGCCGTTTATTCACGTTATATTACTGGATCTTAAAGGCAAAAATACAGTTTTTGTCTGCTTTTAACACCAGTCAGGCGCACGCCCTCACCTTCAGCACAATGGTATTTATACACATCTGCAAACAGGAAAACGGGTTTGGAGGAGGTGCGCGCGGTCACCTGGGTGTGTGGGTGTCACAGAGAACCTGTCCTGGCCGACACACAGCAGCGCACTTCTCCTGTTCTCCCGTGCCACATCGGCCCTCTGCTCGCTCCCAAAGGCCACTTCAAAACGGGTCACCAGCAACGGGGTGGACAGGAGCAGAGAAAGGCACAGCACGGGGCAGCTTCGTGGCACAGCTCCCCAGAAAGTAAATGGTCCCTGAGACCCGCCAGGGGAAGCAGGCCTGGGTGCAGTGAGGCCAGGGGGGCCCAGGGGAGCACCGGAAGGTCATAAAGGGGTGGGGGACGCACGTCTCCTCTGGTTCGGAGGATGAACCACACACCGGACTATTCCCATCAAACGAAGGAAAATGTAACGGGTGGGGGGAGAAGTGGGAGTTTTCTGAGGAGTAAAGTTACAAAAACATGACTGCTCAAGGCATTTGTCTCCTTTCTTTTAAGGCACTTAGGGAAAAAAGGGGCGGGACCTGGGCTCCCGAGGAAGGGGTCTTTCTTCCTTGCACCCCGCCCCTCCCACACAAACTCCCTCTGGTGCAGCACACTCATGCCTTGTTCCAATAATGTCGTGATCAAGGAGTCAGGAACTGACAGAAATACTCTTTGCATAGCCCAGCTGCTTCGGCAAAGGAAAATGTTTGACCAACACAAAGCCTTCTGGGAAAAGAACCAAGTTAGCATCTGAGATGCTCAAAGCAATAAAGGCACAAGTCAGATTGGGACCTGGCACCAGCTTGGTCTTCATGCTGAGGACTGGTGCTCCAGGGCTGTGGTGGTAGGTGGTAGGTGGTAGGTGTAGGGTCCCAGGATACAGCTGAGTCTGATGATCTGAGGCAAGACCGGGCCTGGGGAGGGGTAGGAACTGCCTCGTGCCATCTTGTCCTGGGGAGCCTGGACATCATCTCCCAGGTGGTTAGGGCTGGGGAAGGCACCCTACAGGTTAGCCTCCCGAAAGCAAGAAGAGACTGCTCCCTGGAGCACCTGTGAAGAACTCAAGCGGGGAGGAGAGACTGTAGGCACCAGAGTTCTCATGAGGGAGTTGGGTATGGGTTCAGGGGAACTGCTCTCTAGATCTGTAATTAAAAGGCACATTCACACAGGAAATCGAATAGTCTGACCCTGAGTGCCACAGGCAAGAGGCAAAGGAAGGAAGGAAGGAAGGAAGGAAGGAAGGAAGGAAGGAAGGAAGGAAGGAAGGAAGG